AATGCTACATCTGTCAGTTAAGAAAGAGTCTGAAGGAAAAAATAGTTGTTTATCACCTTTAGCTTACTGTCTTGCATAACATAATCTTTTGTTTATCTATATTATATCCATATCTTAGTTGTAAGGACCACAAAGCCCTTGTGAAAGAAAGGCGAATCCATGTTTTATCACTGTCATGGGATACTTAATCCATATTTTCTCCACCTTTAGAGGCCCATCCCCTCCTTTTCAAATTGCAGAGAGCTTTCTGACTCTTTACGTTTTTAACTCATCGTTCTAAAGCAGCTGTTTCAATCAAAACACAATTCTCAAACTTGTGTTTGCATTTTGAGGGGCTCATAGGGAATACTTGACCTTGAAGGGTGTGTGAAGGAGTGAAGGGCCAGGATTTCTAAGTATCTTCTAAATAACTTCTCTATATCACAGTCTTCAAAATGGAAAATTTCCATGTCTTAGTAGTCCCCTAGACTTTCATGATTCCCTACAGTTTGCAACCCCATTAATATGACAGGTTTTAAACTGTAAGTCTCCCTGTATTTAGTAGTCATTAAGCCTACTTCTTTGCATGCCTGCTGCTGATATACCCTTTTCCCCTTTTTCTTAGTGTATTTTTTAGTACAACATCTCATTATTTTTTCCATTGAGCATTTATTATCTTGAAGCCAAAGCAGGTAAATTAATTTAAACAACAATACTTCTTGATGCTACTCCTCTCTATAGAGAGACTCCCACACAGAGTATTGCCTGTTTCCAAGTCAGTTTCAGACCTATTTCTGGGCATTTCTCTTTGAGAGAATAAACAAATCTCCTTCTTTCAGCTCTATCACCATCTGAAGGGAAATCCTGTGTGTGCCAGCATTGTGAAGCAGTGTGTTGTAACACATTAGTGAGTACCAGGAGGAGCTAGAGGTAGCACAAGAAACATGAAAGACTAACCCACCCCTCTGGAGCAGAAGACTCTGATGTTCTTTGCAAGGCCAGCTGGACACCATCTGATCATTTATTGGAGATGCATCCCATAACTGCACTCCCTTCTGAGACTCAGGGAATAGCTGGAGATTTTGGAGGGTTTTAGCAGTGGGCTCAGTTCCACTGAATCATGATTGTTCTGATCAGGCATCACGGTCTTGGCCAACACCACATATCCACTCCCAAGGTGCTGCTGATTACCAGTCATGGCTCAGTGGCTGAGTAGTTCAGCATTGCCAAGTCCTTCTGAATGGCCATCTCTCCTTTCATGGTTATTCTTATTCAATATCCAAGACATATGTCTCACGTTCCAGGGTCATGTCACACCATGCATCCCCACCTGGGTAGACACAGTATAATTGTGATGGGCACCTTTGCATCAGATATCATTGTAGGATACTGTAGGGCCCAAATCAGTCAATGCCATCAAAATATGTGGGGAAAGGCAAGCTCCTCTTTTTGGGAACTAGCTCAAATTCAGTACTTATCACTAGAAGTTATAACGTCTAATGAGAGGTGTTTGGTTTATGCCCAGGAAATGTCTGGTTGTGTCTGGCTTGACATAATCAATGTCTGGTCAGTCATTAGCTTGCCTACCAAAATAGGCTCTGACCTTTGCCTGGCTTCTTTTCTCTGTTATTACCACTGCCAGTAGAATAAGGTGTACTTATGAGGCAGAATGTATACAAAACAGTAATTTTTCAGAACCATTTGAAAATACTTTGATTAGGTAATGTTTCATAATAAACACTATTTAGTTATGATTGCATCTCTTTACAGGAATGGATCAATTCTGACTCCATTTTGATTAAGAAAAATTGAGTCAAAGCCAGATGAAATTGCCTCGCACCTGAATAACCAATTTATTTGTGTCCAATAGTGACTTGCTCTGTGGCAAGATAGCGAATAGAAAATGGTCTCTCTTGTCTCAGATTCTGTCAGCTGAAATTAGATAATGTTTGTGGTTATTGAAATATTTAATTGTTTTTGCTATAATGTGAACTGTAGCAGTATTGTATACTTTGGCTAGTGGCAGTGCTCTGAAATGAAATTGCTTGGGAAGTCCATCCCTAGTTTTCTGACAGATTTGTAAAAACAATTGTAGGAAATTTTCCCTCACCTTGTAGCTAGATGTCTGCATGCATATAACAGTTGTTCATCTACTTGGACATCTCAGTTATAGTTTGGGGCATTTTATCACTCCTTGTATTCTGACTACAGGCTTCTATATCAGACATAATCTTGTTTGCAATGCTCTGGGTCTTCAGTCTTTTTGCTTCTGGCTTCTTTATCTCATCTTTGTAATTGCAACATTCTTGTAAGACCTGTGTAATACCTTTACTATTTTCTGACAACCAGAACTATGCAGATGTCAATTTATTTCAGTACATAATTGCTTTGCACTTTTTCCCAGTTCTTTTTAAATTTAGGTTTAATTTAATACATAACTTGGCTGATGCTTCAAAATGAGTTGAGAATCCTGTTAATCTGCCATATTTTCATGCTTAAAGACTGGCTTTGCCTAAAATGTAGCTGTGCATACTAGTGATTTGCTTAAACTGTATTTGTGTAGTTTTGGTATTAAGATCAGAGTGTGTGTGGCTCTCAGTAATCTCGGTGGTCACGAATCACTAATGATCTCTTTTTCCTTGAGCATAATGCTTAAACATTTAACATATGCAAACATCATTCCATATTAGTTTTTTATATCTGAAAGGCTCTGGTAGTTTAAAAATTCCAACAGTATCTTCATTAATTAGTACCTGTAGACCTTTACATACACTGAAGTGCCTTTGGCTTTTGCTTGCTGCTTTCTCTGAGGGGGTTGCCCATTTCAAAACACAGATTACTTTGGTTTTGAAAGTTGAGATTCATTTCCTTGCCTCTTAATGGCACAAATAAGAACTTTGTGCTCATATACCAGAAATTGAAAAATATACCTGAAAATGCCTTTAGAATGTGTCTTACTGTCAGAAACAAGTAGCCACACTATTTGATTGTAACATCACTATATTGTCAGTCACAGAAAATAACAGCAATAGTGCTATTGTTCCACTGCAGATTTCTAGAATCCTCTTCTGTCTCCTGAAATAAGATGAGGAATTATGTAATTATGTAATTGTCACTTATAGGCATGTAATAGACATATCTCTATCCAAAATAGCTTACACTATTTGGGCTTTGCCTTGTTTCATGGGATGATAAGTAATCTTAGAGGTTTGTTGCTCTAGACAGGAAGCTTTATTTTCATGTGGTTATCTACTAAAATTATATTCATTAACTCCTAATGCATTCATTGTATTCATTAACTGCTACTCCTATTACAAATATATTCCAGAATTCATTAACTGAGAAAATAGTATTGAAGGCAGATGATGTTCTGGGTCAGTCAATTTATTCAGTTTGAGATACAGGATATCTGAAGATTGAGTTCTTCAGAAACACCTTGACAAATGTTAGCTATTTTGCTGCAACTATGTCAGGCTGAATTGTTCTCCTGGATAATTTTTGGTTTGTTTGCATATCTATTACAGTAATCATTTCTCTCAGATTTAATCTTAGGTTTCTACATTTTCTGGT